CCGGGACAGAATCCGGCGCCCCGACCGGGACTAGAACCCGGTGTGCCGGCGCCGCTAGGCGGAGGATTAGCCTAGTGAGCCGCGGCGCCGGCCTCAAATACCTCTTCATTTAGCAGCCTGATATTTAAAATACTGGTCTTAAATATGTTCACCATCTTGTCCTAATGAATAATTTTTAGGGAATGTTCAAGTGTAATAAAAAGAGTGATAGCCAATGGAATTTCAGGATAAATATTGGAAGAAGTCTTATATTACATTCAATCCAGTATCTTAATTTTAGCAAGAAGAACTCATTTTATCCATCTCCCTCTAAGACCATTAAGAAAGACATGTGTTCTCTTCTTGTTTTTGTCTGAAACTAATGATCCTTGCAATAAATTTTGCTTTATCATCCAGGAAATTTTTTTTGATTGATAAAAAGAAGTGCTTTCTTTTGTTGGAAAAATGACTACACAATCTGTGTTTTCCTTTTTGTAATTGCTGTGAGAAACCACGGAGCTAGATTTAATTTTCAGATGTTGTTACTACATGGGCATTTAAAAGATAGTAAATGTCCAGAAGTCATTTAACAAACTACTGAGTTAAAAGCTGTAGTTGAACATGACATAGGCCCTTATTTAGCTGTGGTTTTTCATATTTATCTAACAGTGTATTCCCATTTTCTTGTCCAATTGCATATTTTGGAAGCTGTAAGTCAACTAATATTTATTGAGGGCATACTGTGAATGAAAACCTACATCATTGAAAAGTTAATACATTTTTTTTGTTATGTAGGAGCTTACATTCCAATGAGGAAAGGTATGAAAAGAAAAAAAATAGGAAAACTGCAACAAAATCAGTTCAAAACTGTTCAGGCCATTTTAGCATTATACTTCAGAATGCCTGAAAAGGACATTACTGAGACAAATGAGAACCACTAAACTGAACTAAATGAAACATAGAAGCACTTGATTCAGTGTTTTAGCCTTGATTGGGCAAAACCTGAGAAAAAGGTGATGGTGCAAGGGGCAGAGCTGTATTTCTAAGTATGTAAAGTACGTGTAGATAAATTGTGTTTTTTAATATATACATATACGTAAAATATATTGGATATAAAGGACCTATTTTAGATGTCTATTATAGGACAAGAACTTTAAAATTCTTCTCTTTTATACAACTTGCCCTTCTATGTAACTAAGTAAGTGTTCAATAATCTATTGAATGAATAGTGGAAAAATTGCTTTCAAAGCATTATAGGAAAATGAGATTCTCACCATAGATAAGTCAGATAAAAGCTGAGTACTCATTACATCAGGACACAACACAGCTTTTGTATGACAGTACCAACAGTACTTTATAAATAGTATTTGCTTACAGATTATAAATGTAAAAAAGCAGCACTTCAGCCTCTTACTGAGCCATGCCTTGTTAACCCAGGGCCTTGCTTATTAGATTTGATTGTATTGAATATTTTTGAAAAATAAATTAAAAGGCAATTTAAGCATGTCTTGCAACAATGAAAAGTATAAAAGTAGCTTATTTGAGATATTTGGTAATTAAAATGAGTTGACTTTGATTAGTATTATGTGTTAGCCAGTTTTGAGATACCAACCTTCAAAGCCTTAATACAGTGAAGTAGTGGAACTCTGGCACTAGTTGTGTCCACCAAAGTGTCTGATAAGACTGAATATAATTTACTTAGCAGTGAGCATCTGGCTTGATTAAAAATATCTCCTTCCCCCTATAAAATATCTGCAGGAAATTTCATTGACACCAAAAATCTGCTGTGAATCTTTCAGTGTGTAAACCAGTATTGTTAATGAATGCGCATCTAAACAGAAAGAACTGCATTGCCTTCTGGCATCTACCAATTACCAGAGTGTCATCCCTTCTTAGCACCTTCTGGGAGGGGGTAACATCGAGGACCCTGAGGCTGGAGTGAAGGTGTTTGTGACAGAGAGAGAAGGACAGGCATAGAGAGAGAGGTCTTCCATTTGCTGGTTTACTCCCCAGTTGACTGCAGTGGCCGGATCTACGCTGATCCAAAGCCAGGAGCCAGGAGCTTCCCCCAGGACTTTCCATGTGGGTGCAGGGGCCCAAGGACTTGGGTCGTCTTCTGCTGCTTTCCCAGGCCATAGCAGAGAGCTGTATCAGAAGTGGAGAATCCAGGACTGGAACCTGCCGCCCTATGGGATGCCGGCACTGAAGGCGCAACTTTACCCCCTGTGCCACAGCGCTGGCCCCTCCCCTTTGCTTTTTGTTTCTGTACCTTCCTGAGGAAGCTGGCAATGAACTTTACTCTCGGGCAAATGCTTTTTCTTTTGGCTTTCTTCCTGTTTCACTGGTCTTCCTTGGTCCTTGTTCTGCCACTTTCATATCTCATTGGCCTCCAAATATTGGAATTTAAGCAGGACTTACGGTTACTTCCCATGGGTGTATAACAAATCACCATAAATGTAGTTGTTTAACACAATGTACATTTATTTTCTCACAGTTTTTTGCAACTGAAGCCTGGGCTTAGCTTGAGTGAATTCTCCGCAGGGCTGCAGTTAAGAGTGTCAGGTGGGCTAGGGTGTCCTCCAGTGTTTGACTAGGGAAGGATATCTTTACAAGCTTAGGTTATTAGCAGAATTTATTTCCTTGTAGCTATATGAGGGAAGGCCTTTTTTGTTGTTGTTCACCAGAGGCTGGAGACCTTGCAAGCTGGCGACTGAAGGCTGCTCTCAGTTCTTTGTCAAGTGTTGTTTCTCCATGTGGCTATTTGCTTCACAAAAGTTAAGTCATGAGGTAAAAATCCTACTAGGTTGAGACTACCATTGTATATAATGGGGTAATGTAATCAAACTGTGTTAATTCACATACATCCTTTGAGCTAATTCCTGCCACTCTTCTGTTGGTTAGAAACAAATTGCAGGGCCTGTCCACACACAGGATGGGGATTGTACAGGAGCAGGACTACCAGGAGGTGAGGACAATGGGATATTCAGGAGTGTATCCACCCCCAGATAGTTCTTCCCTGTCTCCTCTGCACTCATTTTCTCCTGTTACTTTATGGTTTTAACAACTGTCAGTGAGGGAACAACCCTCCACCTTATAACTTAGCTTTATCTTCTGTGAACCAAACATTTTTATCACCTACTGCTTACTTTATATTGTTTACTTTATTAATTTCTCTGTCTCAGACCCATAAGAGTGTTCTGGCATATAAATAAGTACTCCTGAAATATTGTTGAATGAATGAATGCAGTTTGCCTTGTTCCTCATCTTGATTAGCAATTTCAGGTAAACTAGAATCTTAAGTGCTTATAGAATTGCTTTTTTCTCAAACTTTTTAAACTTGACATTTCTTGTTACAATAATTATCTTCAGCTTCAGCTGTCACTTGGACTTGTTCTAAAATATATGTTGGCAGCAGGCATTTAACTCAGTGATTAAGAAAACAACCTTGCATATTGGAGTGTATGGGTTTGATTCCTGGTCCCATATTCCTGCCAGTGCAGATTCTAGGAGGCAGCTGTAATGGTTCAAGTAATTGGGCTCCTGCCACCCTCATGAGAGACCTAGATTGCTTTCTCCATTCCTAGCCCAGGCCACAGCTCAATCACAACTGTTAGGAGCACTGGGGAGTGAACTACCAGAAGGGAGCTCTTTCTGTCTCAATCTTTCTTTTTGTCTCTCTGCCTCTCAAATAAATAAAAACTAATATATGTCACTTGATGCCCTGCTAGCAACCATTCCAGACCTAGTGGGAGGTAAATTCTCCCATTTCCCTTCAGCTGGCTCAGGACTTGCTTCTAACAGGAACCACAATGCTGCTGCTTTCTGCCGTTGCAAATTGGTGGAAACTCATGCAGCCTTACCTTATGCTAGATTGTTTTTTATATCAGTCCTGGCTTCTCATTGAACAAAGCTGCATATGGCTTGGTGAACCTCTCAGTATTTTTTTTTTTTCACTGTGAAGATCTACAATGTATAAAGTGGGCAATAATGGTCATCTGACACCTGTTCTGCCACATATTTCCCAAAGGATTTTCTCATCTGTGGCCTGTGCTCCTTTCATCCTATGTTCTTTTATTCACTCCCCCAACCCCATTCCCTAACATCCTCAAAAAACATATTAAAATCTAATTTCTGGGTACAACTTCCTATCATTAATGTATACTTTAGTCCAAGGTAGTAAAGAAGTGTATCATTTTCTCTAGGTATATTTTCTTTTTTTTTAATTAAAGATTTATTTATTTATTTGAAAGAGTTAACACAGGGAGAGAAGGGTGGTGGAGAAAGAGAGGTCTTCCATCTGCTGGTTCACTTCCCAATTGGCTGCAGTGACCTGAGCTGCGCTGATCTGAAGCCAGGAGCCCAGGAGTTTCTTCTGAGTCTTCCACATGGATGCATGGGTCCAAGGACTTGGGCCATCCTCTGCTGTTCTCCCAGGCCATAGCAGAGAGCTGTATCAGAAGTGGAGCAGCTGGGACTTGAACCATCGCTCATTTGGGATACTGGCACTACAGGTGGTGGCTTTACCTGCTATACCACAGTGATGGCCCCAACATTTATTTTAATTAGTTGTTTTTTGTGTGAAAATAATGTTGATTGAAGTAGTATATAATGATCTTTTCTCTGGGTAACATAGCCTCTACCTATCTTGTACCATTTGCTATTTTTTTTTTCTTTAAGATTTGTTTGTTTATTTGAAAGACAGAATTACAGAGGGACAGAGGCAGAGAGAGAGAGGTTCACTCCCCAGATGGCTGCAACCACTGGAGCTGGACTGATTGAAGGTAGGAGCCAGGAGGTTCCGCTGGGTCTCCCATGTGGGAGCAGGGGCTCAAGGACTTGGGCCATCTTCTACTGCTTTCCCAGGCTACAGCAGAGAGCTGGATTGGAAATGGAGCAGCTGAGGTGCCCATATGGGATGCTGGCACTGCAGGCGGCTGCTTTACCCGCTGCTCCACAGTGCTGGCTCCTACCATTTGCTATTTCTTTGAAGCCTGATAATAATATTCTAATTGTATTTTTAGGAAGCTGAATCTTCAACTTCCTGAGGAGAACATCTGGACATAAAGAGCTCCTACCAGGTAAAGAGAAAATGTGGAAAAAGCTCATACTGCCTAGATTAGAATTTCACTGTGAATGTTCATATTAGATTACTTTGATAATTGCCTCTCTCCTTTTTATGGGGAAACTAAAGTTCTAGCAGAAAATTAAAAAATAAATTACAATTAAAAATTGTATATACTTTTAAGCATTGGTAGTTATTGAGATTCAGTCTTACTACAAAAAGAATGAGACAGATGCCAGTCTAAGTAGCCAAATGTTTCCAGAATAAAATACTGCCTATCAGCTGAGAATGTTTTACTTGAAAGACTAACTTGATAGTCTTAACTCCACAGTTGGACGCAAAAGAAAATGTGTGTGTTGCCAGCAAACGTTTTCAAGAGATAAACACTTGTTGCAAGTACTACATGCTTAGAAAAATCTTTCATTTTGCCAGCTGAGACCACCACGTGTTTTAAAATATGTCATCCATTATTTCAGTGTGAAGAGCGCCCCCTAGTGTGACTCTGTAATTATGTTTATGTGATATTTTAGGCATTGTTTGGAAAATCGCATTTAGCTGTTAGATAGTAGTGGGCTTTTTTATACACAGGGTTAAGTTATTCAGTATGGTAATTATCTAGAAAAACATGTTTGATTTTTTGGTACTCCTACCCATGCTTGTATCTGGAGTCAGTGGTCAGCTTAATAGATTTTGTAATACCAAATTCCTAAACTTCTATAATTCAAGCTTAATGCCCAATAATATATTATTTTATAAATGTGAAATTTTATACTTAGATGAAATTTTACTGCATAATCAAATTCTTTGATGGTAACAGAATTTGTTAAATGAATTTTTTAAAAGATTTTATTTAGTTATTTGAGGGGTAGAGCTGCAGACAGAGAGAGGGAGATACAGAGACAAAGAAAGGTCTTCCATTCACTGGTTCACTTCCCAAATGGCTGAAATGGCCAGAGCTAGGCCAATCCAAAGCCAGGAGCCAGGATTTTCATCTGGGTCACCCTTGCAGATGTAGGTGCCCAATCACTTGGGCTATCCTCTACTGCTTTCCCAAGCCATAGCAGAAAGCTAGATCGGAAGAGGAGCAGCCAAGAGGTGAACCAGCTCCCATATGGGATGCTGGCGCTGCAGGCGGAGGCTTTGCCTATTATGCCCTTTAAATGACATTTCTGTGAAAAATTCCTTTTTTGGTAAGCTCATGGGCATTTTAAAAACAATCTTTGTGACACAAATATTCAAATATGTTCTGTTTTAAAATGTCCATTGTGTGAAAATAATCCAAATTTTGGCATTTTCTTACAAACCAAGAGCTTGCTATTGCTGCAGGACTTGCAAATATGAAACTAATTTATCTGTTAATTAAAATAACACTATTCCCTGTCAATGTATGATGGCCCCCAAATCACCACCACCCCTATAAATTCTTAGAGTTGACAGCAGAATATCTGTTTTATAACAGCTATTTCTCTCTTATTCTTAATTTTTAATCCTTTGGGAAGATTTAAACCATCCTTTCAAACTGATACTGTACATAATATTCTACACCACATTTCTGTAAACTTGACTATTGCAATTATTTCCCCCACTGTGTTTCTCAGACCAAATTATCTTGATTGCTTTAACTATTTCCTACAGGTTCTCTGCTCTAAACTCGATAATTTGCAGAACTACTCTGTGTGTAGTTCTATTTCACAGATTGCCTTTGCTTTTAATTTCTTCTGTATTTTCTCCTTTCTCACCTGATTCTGAAGCCATATGTTCAGTACAGTATTCCCATTAATTCCTGCTCTCTGAATGAATATCTTCTAAAAATGAGGTTTTTGAAACTCAAGAGCAGTGAATCTCTCATAGAAGATCTTTGTTTGAATCTTGGTTTCTTATATTCTGTGAGAAATTGAGATTTTGGACAAGTTTCTGACTGTCAGAGCCTCAGTGTCTTCTAATAAAGAGTAATGCAAATAATGTTACTAATAGATCTTTTACATTAATGTATGCCAAATTTAGGTCAGGGGCCTTATGAGCATTTATTTCTCACCACAACTCTATGCACAAAGCATTATTATTTTATATTATTGGTGAGGCTACTTAATTTCATAAGTGGAAAAGTCACAATTTTAATTAGAATCTTTTCTGACATAAAGTGGGCTCATAAACCACTGAGCTATGTCTGTACTTCAATCATGCTTATTTATTTCTAGTAATTTGTTAATTTAATTGTTCTTAAAAATCAAACAATTCCCCAGTGCGTAGAGGAAACTAATCTTTTATAACAGAATAGGGGGAACCAAAACATGGAATGAATGGGAGAGACAGAGAGAGAGAGAAAGGGAGAGAGATCTTCTATTTGCTGGTTCACTCTCTAAATGGCTGTAATAGCTAGGTTGGGGGGGGCAGGCTGAGGCCATTTGTCAGGACCCCTTCCCAAATGGGTGTCAGAGGCCCAAGCACCTTTCCTAGGTGCCTTAGCAGGGAGCTGAAGAAGCAGTGGAGCAGCCAGGACTCCATCCAGATGTGGAACAAGGATGGCCCTGGGAGATCCTATAATATTATATTATCCATAATATTATAGCGGATGTTTTTCTCATCTGGAAATCTGAATTAATTTGAACATGTGTTCTTTCTGTGTAATTTTTTTTCAAACCAGGTGGAGTATTAGGAAATTTCTTGTTATTAGCATAGCTGAGCTTAAAAAAGTAATGACAAGGACTGGATGTCCTGGGTTAGTGAGTTTAGGGCACCTTTAAGAATAATATAAAAGCAAGATGATAGAAAGCTAATTTTAGAGACTGTCAGCATGCTTTCAGTTCGTCACTTTTTTTGTTTTTATCTGGAACCATCATCTAATCCCAATGTGCGTTACCATTCTATTTAAGTATCTAATTACTTTCATTGGCTTTGTGAAGCTTGTGTAGTTTTCCTTGTGAGTTAAAATATTTTTCTGATATTTTATATACCAAATTTTATTCTTTAATTGCTATAAAGGTCAACGTAATAAGGTCTTCATTTTGTTATCTACTTTTGAAGGTTACTAAGGAGCTCACCATGGAAACGTGTTAACAAGCATGTTCTTCCTTAATAAAACCTGGTGTTGCATATTATTCCATTGGTCGTTTAAATTTGCTGTGGGAAATAAGCTGTTAAAACACATTTCAAATGTTTTGCAATGGAAGGAAGACCTTTCTCTCTGTCTCTGTCTCTCCCTCACTGTCTAACTCTGCCTGTCAAAAACAAAAAAACAAACAAACAAAAACCTGCCCAAAGGCCTCTCATATTTTGGATAACTGGAAAACCCCTTAATTCTTTCCAATTTTGCCACTTTTCAATAACCTCACTGAGACCAGTGCATTTTCCTAAAGCATAGAACTAAAATCAGTTCAAAATAATCCAGAGTCTCATTGACCCCCAATACTCTTTGGTTCTTGCTTACCTCTCTTTCAGCTTGTCTCTTTACCATTGTCCTTACCCGTTAAACTTTGTGCTTTGCTCCACTGAAAAAAATCACGGAACCCACGATGCTTCTTACTTCCTTTGCCTCCTCCTTTGTGCCATTTTGCACCAGCTCTCTGTAACAGTAGCACAATTCATCACTTTACCTGTTGAGGACTTTTGGCTGAGCTCCACGTTCACTTTCTGCAGCCATCATTGCCTAGATGGAACTCTCACTCAGCAAGCACATGGCTAGTCTAAATACCTCTTAAGTGGACCATTGAATGACAACTTCTGTCATTGCCAAGTTCAGTTTACAATGTGAAGCTTGAAGGTGTATTTGTTGTATTACTTTGTATCAGAGTGCCAGGTACATAGAATGTGTTAAGGAAGAACATTATTTAGGAAGATTGTGTAGGGGCTGAATAAAAGCCAAAAAGATGTTGTATTAGGATTTCGATTAAAGCTGGGCCTTCAGTCAGACTTTCTGGCTGGAGGGTCAGAATGAGCAGCTTCTGTCTGTCATGGCTAGTCAGGATGAAGAAACAGCAGCGACTGTATGTTCTTTGTCTTCCATTTACATCGACTCTCTCAGCACTCATGTGTTTCTCAGTGCACCTAACTACTCCCCCATGATATTTCCTGTGACTCACTCAGTATTCAGTCTCTCCTTACTTGCCACGTTCCACTATTGTTGCAAGCGAAAACAAATTCACAACCCCCCTCGCCCCCCCCCCCCCCACATTTTCTCATCTTCCTATGCTCTGGGAGACATTCTGTCACAATTCTGTCCAATTATATATATATATATATATATATACACACACACAGAAATCTGATGGGATTTCTGGGAATGTTCTGTTTTTTTTTGCTATAGGTTTTTTACAGTTTTTCATGAGAGAGAGAAAGAGAGAGAGATGTAAGTGGGGGGGGGGTATCTTTTCCATCTTGTGATTCACTTATTTAATGCTTTAATGCATGCAATAGCCAGGGCTGAGCTAGGCTGAAACTAGGTGCCAGGAACTCAGTTTAGATATTCCATCTGGGTGGCAGGAAGCCAAGTATTTAGGCCATCACTTGCTGCCTCCCAGAGTATGCGTTAGCAAGAAGCTGGAATTGGAAGCTGAACCAGAATTCCAACCCTGCCACTTGATTGTAGATGCAAGCTTCAAAAACCAGGATCTTAATCAGTGTGACAAATGACTGACCCTTCTTACGTATGTTCTAACTGGCCCCTGCTTCATTCCTGGAAGATATGTGTGATGACTGGAACTAGGTCATCCATCTATAACTTTGAGAGAAATAAAGCCAGGGATTACTAAGACTTATGGGTTCCTTTAGACTTCTCATAGCATGCAAAAACTTCCCCATGCTATGTTTAAGCTGTTCCTATTTGGGTTTTCTTCTGCATCGATTGTGTCAGTTCTCTAGCTGATACTGGAATTATTGTTTTAAGTTTCTTAGCTCTGCCTGTTTGTCAGTTCACCAAGCATATGCTAAGAGCCACTGTTAATGTGTACTGCCTTACCTACTAGGATATAAAGATTGAAATACTATGATGTGGACGGCTTAGAATTAGAGTCTTGAAGG